ACGTAACAAAAGTTTAATTCTACTTCGATCTTTTGGAGGGTAGGGTAAGAATATGGAGAAGGGACTTGTTGCGTTGCTGATGCAGTTTTATTACTGCGTTTACTGAGCAATTTGGATAGTTGCTCGTAGTAAGGCAAGGGATCTTGATTGGAGTTAAGTGCTTGTTTAATTTGAAATTTCAATCTCTTCTCCTGCTGCCTAAATCCGCCTTTTGTAGGCATTAATAAAATTTACTATAAAAAAATAGACCCAAAGAATTGTCGGATGGGGCCACACCATTGGCAGCGACGATCCTATTGATTGGGCCCGCGCTATTTTAAATAGACCCGAAGAATTGTTACCTTTCGGGATGGGGCCACACTATTGGCAGCGACGATCCTATATATAGATTGGGGCCACACCATTGACAGCGACAATCGTAGCAATTCTTGGTATCAGTATTCCCAAATTTGCAGCAGGAAAATGAAATTCGAATCTCAATAGTTTTGGTTACAAAAGGTCTTTATTGCGAACAGAGGTACGGACAAAGTACCTAGATGTCTGATGAGGCTAGCTTAGAAGTGCTGCCTAAGTTCTAGAGAGTTCCGGTCGAGAGACGAATTAACAAACAGAAAGCAAAGCCATTTAAGTCAATCCACCTCGTCGTGGTTATACAGTCGACGTCAATCCATAATCTCCTTGATTATGACGATTAATGTTGAGTTTCCGTGCAAATATCCTGCGAGGTCTAATCTATTTAGCATTGAATTCGCGCACCGATCCGCGAACCTATAAAAGACATCACAATTGTTGCCATCATCATCCGTCAAAGCGGATAAATAATCTGTTAAAATTAAAATGATTTACACTATGATCAAAAAGTTCCGGGAATTGGTAAATAAAACAGATTTTTTGTTAATTTTCGGGTACATTTATTTTATCGCCTTCAAAGTAGCATCCATCTGAAGCCATGCACATATGCCAACGCTTAACCCATTCATCCATACACTTTTCATAGTCCGATGAAGGAATGGCTTTCAATTCCCTCGTCGCATTTTCTTTTATTTCATCTATGCTCGAAAATCTTTTTGCACGAAGCGGTAATTTAAGTTTTGAGAACAGGAAAAAGTCGCAGGGTGCCATATCTGGAGAATACGGTGCTTGTTGGATGGTATTTACTGCGTGTTTGGTCAAATAGTCGGCCACAATGTGTGCTTTGTGAGAGGGAGCGTTATCATGGTGCAAAATCAAAAAATTGTTTTTCCATAATTCCGGTCGTTTTCTACGCACAACATCTCTCAAACGCCTCATTACGCCCAGATAATACTCCTTATTGATTGTTTGACCCGTTGGCAGGTACTCATAATGAACAACGCCTCGATAATCAAAGAAAACTGTGAGCATAACCTTGATTTTTGATCGACTTTGACGCGCTTTCTTCGGTTTTGGTTCATTTTCATAGCGCCACTCGGATGATTGTTGGCTAGTTTCGACATCATATTCGTAAACCCATGTTTCGTCACCAGTAATTATGCGTTTCATCATGGTAGGATCGTCTGTTACCTCAGAAATCATCTCCTGGGCCACTGTCTTTCGGAACTGTTTTTGAACGAAATTCAGGTCTTTTGGCACAAGTCGTGCTGCAACGCGTTTCATGCCCAAAATATCCACCACAATGTGCTGTGCCGATCCATACGCGATGTTGAGCTCACCAGCTATCTCTCTGAGGCTTGCATGACGATTTTCGAGCACGATTTCCTTAACTTTTTCAACGTTATCATCGGTTGTCGATGTCGAAGGGCGTCCACTACGAGGTGCATCTTCAACTTCTTTGAGACCTTTCTTGAATGCCGAATACCACTCGTATGCTCGTGTTTTCGAGAGAGCAGAGTTTCCGTAGGCTTTTTGTAGCATTTTCAATGCATCGGCACAAGAAATATCGTTGGAAACACAAAACTTCAAACAAACTCTTTGTTCAATATTTCTTTCCATTTTGAAATGCGACGAAGTGCAAAAAGATATATCACTGTGTGTTTGTGTGTTTAAGGTGACCGTTTCGTCTTGACGTTAGAGGTGGTAACAGCCGCAATGTTTCAAATACTTTTACTGCGTTAAATACCAGTATAATGAACCAAAATTACTTTTGCAACACCTTCAATTACAGCAACGTCGTATCTAGTCACAACTCCCCTTACTATTTCAATTTGCTGCAGGTAAGGAAGCAGAATGATCTATATACTTTATGATACTATTGATATTATATGTAGATTATTAAATTAGAGCTGTTCACGATGCATATTTTAGCTGAATTTTTATGCTGTTTTAGAAAACCCAGGGGCCAAATGAAGAAGAAAAATTGGCGTTTGTACATAAGTATTATACTTATGGTTTACTTTTATAATTATATTAAGTTTTAAATGACAAATAATTTTTATATATGAATAACGTAGTTTTTAAGAAACTAATAGCTTATCAATAGTTGAGTTTGTAAGAATTCTTGCGCTGCAAGTTCAAAGTTTTGTTGCTTAAATGCTAGAGTTTACTTGCAGTTTCTTCATAAGAACGCGTTGATTGTTATTTCTGATCTCAGTTGAGATGCTGTCGCCACATATCAAAAAGATATATCACTGTGTGTTTGTGTGTTTAAGGTGACCGTTTCGTCTTGACGTTAGAGGTGGTAACAGTAAAAATATCAACGTCTGATATTGGTCAGGAAAACGCGAAACCTGTGTCCGCAGCTTTTCAATCGTCATTCCTTCAATGTTACGTCAGCCACCGCCAGGTAACCCCTACCTTTCATACATAGTATAAATGATCCTCCATAGGTCTCTTTGACCGGCATGCATTTAAGCAGTTTCTAACGAGCTACTAAAATTGCGGAATAAAGACTATCCTACATTACTTGCATTTTTTGCAGCGACCTGTGTCCGCTCTATCTAGGTTCTATCATCACCTTTACATAGAATCTCCATCTAATTAAAGACCTGGGATATATGACAAAGAATTAATCCACATAAGACTAGTAGTAGTAGGAAGGGTGGAAGGTAGGGAGGAAGAGGGAGAGGAAAATGGAAACGAAAAGGAAGAGAATTTTGATTGTGTTTGAACCTCCATAGCACAGTATAGATAAGTACAATAGGTTTATTCAATGTCAACACTTTTGATCTTGATGCCACCCGGTTGCCATGTTGTTACGAAGTAACAACTTGATATATTTGTCTTTTTTATGTATATTTTATTTTGTTTTTCAAATTCTGATTTGATAAAAATATTTTCCTTATACTTTTGAACATTCTTATTTAATATCGTTTTTACAATTTACTTTATGTTTCATATATGTGAAAAGCGCCTTACATAAAGTTTGTGTCGCAGTTTCCAAAACTTCTCTTGTATGAAAACCTATACTTAAACGTATAAAATTCTTTGCTTCACCTTTGTATGAAAATCGAGTACCTGGTATCGCTGATACTTTATATTCCTTTTGACACCATTTGATGAATTTTGCAGCATCCATATCTGTAAAACAGATAATATTACAAAAATTAAATAAATTATTATAAGTATATGACAAAAATATAATTGAAAGAGAATACAATATTAAAATTATAATATGTAATTATTTCAAAAATTTATGTGGTCGGACAATTACTCAATTACTATCATAATTACTCTAATATGTATGTATGTATGATAATTTCATAATCATTAGGTATATAAAAACAACATTTGTTATACCTGACGGAAGATGGATCCAAACAAAATAACCACCTCCTGGTCTGTGATACGAACAACCGTTTGGAAGAAATTGATCCAAAGTCGCACAAAGAGTATCTAATCGTTCCTAAAAAATAGTCTTGATTTTATTTTTATCTAGCTTTTATTTTAATAATTAAAATATATAAGAACAATTTTATATTAAAATAAAAAATCATAAAATCTTGAGAGCATACACAAACTATTTTCAATTATACTAAAGATTTTCTTAAATTATTACGGTCTTTAATTAAATTAATATACTTTTTGGAGCATAAGGATATTTATGGAGATGATGTAACATACTTTATAGATCTTTATCATCTTGTTAAGGTGTTCATCTTCAAGATGTTCATGTAATAAACTTGCAATTATTCCGGAAACATAATGATTAACTCCTCCACCACTGCACATTATGCCTCTAAAAAGAAAAATATATTAAAAATGTACAGTTAAACAGTTACAGTAATAAGTCACAAGAATTTTTGCTAGTCGGTGCAATTTAATGCACAACAAATGTGATACATACAAAATTAATGATATTTATGATTAATCTTATTCAGAGACTTTTATGTAAGTCATTGACATAATAAATAATTTTGTATGATTTATATTTTTAGCTAATTTTTTTCAGGAAAAGAAAATAAGATCCCTTACGAGGTCTTTATAATATTCACAACGCGCGGACTGCATTCAATCCATCCAAAGCGAATCGCTGGTGACAAGATTTTAGAAAACGAACAATTTGATACAACGTTTCCTCCTTTGTAATTTGGATCTTTTGGGTCATCGTAAGAAAATAAACGTTGTGGCGGAAATCCATGTCCATAATAAAGTAAATTGTATACATCATCGCAGACTAGCACTATGGAATTGTTTCGTGCAATCTCTACTAAACGCCTGCATTGATCTAGCGAGAAATAAAATTGATGAAATAACGTTTTATTAATGTAATCAAGAGTATATATTTTAAGTTTATGTACTTTAAAAGAGTCAAATTATGCATATTGGTTGAAATAAGCAATGGATTGCACATTCTTCGGTCACAAAATATAACTGATTGTGTAGGTACGCAGTATTCAAATTACCAGGAGACAGTGTCATTCCAGTTGGATTATGAAAAATTGGTATTGTATAAAACATCGCCCAGAATATTTTCTGATCATTTAGAAGAAAGTTTCCTTTTGTCTTCTTTTCAACTATTATTTTTTCGAGTGCATCTAGATCTACTGCATCATCTTTCATTGGCACTATATGAAATAAAAATGATAATAGCAGACATCTTAATTGACATATTTTTTTTAGAGGAATCCGATAGCACGCATATTTTTAATCAATTTTTTAAAATAAATCGCCAATTGAATAACTTAATATAAAATTTTCTGATTAATTTAGTATAAAATTTTCTGATTGGTGATTTACTAGTAAGTTCCTAGGTCGATGTAAGTGAATGTGTGCTAACGGAGCCCGCCTATTTTTAATTATACAATAATAAATTTATAGTATCATCTACCTGTAACTATTTGCATCAGTGGAAATTGTTTAAAAGCCTCGAGAGCAATCATATAAGTAACTTCTTCTACAAAAATAATTCCATTTGGTGAGAGTATGGTATTCAGTAATAATTGAAGACCGTGTGATGCTCCGCATGTTAATATTAATTGCTCTCTCAATACAGAATTGCCATATCGTTTGCTCAAAAACTTGGCTAACTCATCGCGACATTCCCAAAGACCCGCCGTGATACCATATTGAAAAAGGTAATGTTTTCCTTCCTTTTCTTCTTCTTCCTATAACAATATTTAGTTTGATTAACATGGATTGCAAATAGTGCAATAAATATTTTAGGATTTGTAGAACAGCTTATAAAATATAAAATATTTCATAAATGCAAACAACAAAATATTGTTCAATTTATTAAATGTTATTGTTACATTTTAACATAGAAAATATTAAAAAATTGTTTGTGAATGATTGCACCAGGTTATTAACTATAATTAGTTCCAATTAAACTTTCAACTTGAATTAATAAAATTGAATCTATTATCAGATTCTGAAAAATAATTTATACAATGTAGCAGAACGCAATGCAATAATGCTTAGTAGCGCGTGCATGGAAATTAAGGATGAGGGTACTATTACATTTGTCGTACGACAAATTTTTTAAACATGTTGATTGGCTACAAGCCAGTACCTAGAAAATTTCTAGGTACTCGAGAACTTTTCTATCTTGCAGCTAATCAACACGCTTGAAAAATTTGTCGTATGACAAATGTAAAATTAGCCTTACTCAATTCAACTGAAGTGGACTGTATACAAAGTACAAAGTTAAAAATAAACATAATTTGCATTAGTTGATTTTTAAAAGTAAGTTAATTGTGATAATAGATTGTAAAGATAATAATTTTAGAAAGATATAAGTTATTGACAATAGATATTAATTGTTTCAGAATATTATCTGACAGATGCAAGGATAAGTGCAATGTTAAAATATGTCATTGTTACCAGTCTATGTCGCGTGGATCTATTCAGCATTTCTATACAATGTTTCAATAAATCAGGACCAGGTGCTCCGACCGATAAATTTACAGCCTCCTGATTGTAGACATTAAATATTGGGTCACCATCGAACAAGTGTCTCAAATATGGATCATGAACTGTATCCATGTCTGTGGTTTCTTTGGGTTGATCTTCGGGTACTAATCTGTAACAATTTCGTTTTCTTAGGGTGGTTCGTCTAAGCTGAAATCGTATGTAATATCACAATAGTGTGTACAGTACATTTTACAATTCTGATATCGATTGACACTTTCCTCTGAAAGAAGTATCTATTAATAAATCTTATAAAAATCTTTAATAATACAATCTTTAGTTCATTTTCTTAATTTACAAAACATTTCAAAATATTTGTTACAGATAACACGTTACATAATTCAGAAGATAGATTAAATGCGAAATATGAGGTAATATTGTATTAAAATTGCAATTACTAGTATTATTAAAGTATTCAAATCTATAAAGCCTCTAATAAATGTTTAGTATTTATTATGGAAATCTTCATTTTCATTGTGTCAATGTAATCTCCTTTAGATATCTACTAAATTCTAAGTAAAATCTCGTATTTTATACCTAAATTTGATTTTTTTAAATTAATTATTAATTATTAGGCGTAATTATTGAGCAGATAATTTCCGGAGCTTACATAGAGTTTACACGGATCTTTTATGAAGCTCTGATGAATTCTATAAACGTGATTTAATAGACATTAAATGTGGATACATTTCAAAGTAAAAAATTTTAAGACTACGAACTTATATACTTTTAGAAATACTGAATGTGTTCACTTCTGTGTATTGTGCATGGACACTAAACTTTTGTAAATTAAATTGATGAATTTGATTTGATTTTATTAGATCTTCTCAGTTAAGCGAAAAGATCCACACAATAAGTTTTATCAATCACATTGAAGAAAGGCCGAGATTATGAACGTAACAATTTGCGTTGTAAATATTTCAGGCACAAGCATCCGGATCATGTGATTACTCGTGAAAGACTAACGTGAAGAATACGTCGGAATTGCAGATGTCTGACTGTATGACTAATTGTAAGTGATATATCTTCGTGCCTTTCCGTACAATTCCGTGCAATTTCGTGGTCTTACACTGTGCATCGGTACAGGCAACATTGATACTGCGGTGCTTTAGGCGCTTATGTGTTGAAAACATCATTCTATTTTTGTTGCTTATTATACATCAAAGAAACATAGAATAATACTTTCAACGCGTAAGCGCTCAAAGCGAACGTAGCCGGAATCTATTTTTTTTTCATGTACATACCAATTAGCGATATTATATGAATATTGGGATGTTAAATAATAATTTTAATAGATTTGCATGAACTTTTTTAGAGTGTTACATATTTTCGTTCATACTAATTGTTAATAATTGTAAATAAATGTAAAAACAATTTTTCTTTTATTCGTAAATTGTTATTATTGTCGACTATTTTCCATTTATGATGTAAAATAAATAGAGCACAAAAATTAATTCGATAAGAAAAATTTTATTTGACTTTACCTTTTTCAGAATGTAAAATGTGAAATATTAAATATATGAGACATGTAAAAACCAACAAAAATGAAGTAAATAAAGCATTTGATAAAGCATAGAACTAATCATATAATCAGTATTTTTAACGTTAATCTTTATCTACAGTTTTATGATATACAGGGTGTAATAAAAAGATCCAGATCCCAGAATATTTCGATGAATTTCGATGAAATTGAGTTTTTGAAGAAAAAGTTTAATACAAAAGTAGTAAGGTTTAAAGAGTTTTATTATTAGCCTTTATCAGTTTGACCTTGGTGGCGTTGGTCAAGACAAAGTTATCATGAATGTTTTCTTGAAATTTTAACACTACATTAATGTTATGGGGTTACTTTTCAAGTCTGTACATACCTTAATGTGTAGATGTTACGCAACATGTATTGATATCTCAAATCAATCTTGAAATTTTCAAGTTGCCTTTCACTAAGCATTGAACACAGAACACTGCGTTATGCTTTGCGCATCAGAAGCGTCGAAGATATTCTATTCCCTCTCTTACGAAGTTCTCCATCATACTTTCCGTTATAACTCTGTAACGTCACGATGCACAAGCTTACCCAAAATGCGCCTTATGCATTTTTAAAGCAAATAACATTGTGATTGTACACCTGGGGACATTCGACGTGGAGAAGCACAAAACCTATTACCTATAATATGTATTTTTTCCCTTTGGCAAACCTAAAATCATAGTCGTGTACTTTTCCTTACTTATAATATGCTACGTATTTGTGCGATGAATAATTTCGAATTGGTCGAAGATCACCAGGTTCATGCTTGGGCGACGAACTCTCTAGAATTCTTGAGCATTACTCGATATTGCATGGCGAGTAGTGATTTCTGCGTCGTGCTGAACTACTAGTAACAATAGGGTAACTTTTCGACAATTGCTGACATTAAGGATGTCATTAGGATGAGGCTTACTGTCAACCACGCTGAGTATGGTTGCCCCTGCTAATCGAAAGTTAACGTAAAAGATTTTCCGACTCCAAATATATTTTAACTGCGTGCTTATTGGAGATCGCATCGTCGGAAAAATTTGCCAATTTAAAACTAATTGTGTATCGGTGAAAATTTTATCTTTACAATATAACGTCTTGTATTTTTAGATATCTCATATTTATACAGTACAAAGATGTAATGAAATATTTGTCGTCCTTTATTTTTATTAAAATTTTCTCATTCAGAATAGTTGCAGACATCCGTATTACACACACTAGCCACGTAAATACATTATATGTGCGGACTCCTGATTCGAGATCAGTTTAAGGCTCCTGGGCTCGCCACGGCTGGAAATCAACATAGCTGCAGTGAGTATCCAGGAGCCTTAAATGCACATCCAAATCAAAATTTAGAAATGATTTATCTTCTGCCTATTGCATTTTCTTATGCATCTCGACCGATTATTCGCAAAGAGATTCAGCATTATATTCTTATAGATGTAACTTATGTTCACTACTTTGTTCAGAAACTCTTGACGATAGTCACTCTAGCAATCTTTGCTCTTGCACTGGCGTGCTGCAACTTTTCCCTATTTCCTTGCATTTTTAAAGTAAATCACTCACAATAAATCACCTGTCGGCGACAGGAGGTTTTCCCGTTCCGGAAGCTACCACCAAATAGCGCCCTTGTCGATTCTTTACCCAACGAGGTCTGCAATCATCATTCGATCGTAGTAACTTTTTTCTGCATTCTTAAGTATAAGATGAAAATACACGTTTAGCGTTTGCGATTGGTCGGCGGCCGTTAAGGTGGGGCTATATCCGATCTTTATGTTAATACCTTTAGCGAGTATGTGCAGCGGTCATACGGGAACTTCAGGAGCTTACGCTTGTTTCCTTCGGCTCTGACAACGGAGTGAACGAAAAAACGTATTTTGAGTGCGATGATACCGACTAGTACTGTTGGTCGATCAGTTGAAATCGGCCTGCGTCTTACTGGCATATGGCCAAATTCCTCGATTTTCTTCAAACTGCTTTGGACGTTGATGATGGGAACAGGGCTGACCTTCCAGTATCGTTATTTTCTGAAGCACTTTAACGCTGAGGAGCTACCGAATCTAATAGACAGTTTAAGTACCATTTTGCCACACAGTCTTCTTTTCTTTAAGCTGATTGTCTTGTGGTTCAATAATCGGTATGTGCTGCCTACATTATAATAATTTGTAACGTACGTGTAAATCATAAAATTACATCTAAAATGAAACAAATAAATCAGAAGTTAAAATTATTGAACTTTTACAACGCAAAAGGCATACCAGCGATATTGATTGACTCATTATTTAATAAAGTTAGAATTAATACTTAAAAGATTGTTCACTCGAAATCCTCTTATCCAATTCCGTTAAAACTGAAATTAATTAATTCACACAATTAATTAAGTCCAATCCCCAGTAAAACACTTAAATGTGCTGACCAAAAACCGGACAAGACTATTATTTTGACGAACAGAGACGTGACGTAACAAATTCATGTATTTTCATGTCAGATTAATCCTCAGATCAATCCAATCCTTTGTGAGCGGCGGGGGCATAAAGATTTTTGAAATTTTAGGGGATCACCGGCACGTGCGCGA